GGCAGCAGAGCCAGAGTCACAGGGGTCTTCTGTACTGACTGGTTTAAACCTCAGTTCAGAAGCTGTGGGGCCACTGAGGATTTTACAGAGGGAATGGTGGGATGGAACTCACTTTTAGTGTAACTCCAGGAGGATGGAGGGGTGGGGGGGGTGGGGTCAGGAGGGCTTGGAGAAAGAAGGTAGTTATCTCTCTCTCTCTCTCTCTCTCTCTCTCTCTCAGTGCAGACAGAAGTGAGGAGGCTTGGGGGTGGGGGGAAGAGGCTGGAGAGGTGGACTCAGGCCCTAATTAGAGCGAAGTAGAAATGCCTCCACATGCACCACAGTCTTTTGCTGAGGTAAGAACCGGGAAGGGTCAGGTGAGAGAGATGTGACCACTTCCACGGGTTTGGAGTGAGGGAGAGAGAGACTGAGGATGACTTCTAGGCTACTAACGTGGGTTGTGGTAACTTTTGCTCAAACAAAGATATTCTGGAGTAGCAGCAGGTGGGGGAGAGGTGTGGATGCCCCCAGTTTTCCAGCTGGTGAGTCTGAGGTACCCATGGGTTGTCCAGGGGAAGAGAGCTGGGCAGTGGTTGGGTTCATGGGTCTGGGGCTCCTTTTGAGACCCAGAGTCATTCAGGGGCAGCTGATGTAACCGGACCAGATGCAAGCACCCAAAGAATGTGCCAAGTGAGAAGAGTAGGGGCAGGGCTGTTTTATCGGGGGACGCTATGGGCCCTGAGTCCACCATCCCTGAACTTTCTGAAGGGCTAAGACATTACTAGAAGCCTGGAGAAAACAAACAATCAAACAAACAAACAAACAACTAGCTTATTAACAACAAACCAAAACACAGAGCAAGACAAAACATAAAATCCTACAGCCCCTCCAGTAACCCTCTGTTTGTTCTCCATATTTATGAGTCTCTTATGCTTTGTCCGCCTCCCTGTTTTTATCTTATTTTTGTTTCCCTTCCCTTATGTTCAGCTGTTTTGTCTCTTAAAGTCTTCATATGAGTGAAGTCATGATATTTGTCTTTCTCTGACTAATTTCACTCAGCATAATATCCTCCAGTTCCATCCACGTAGTTGCAAATGGCAAGATTTCATTCTTTTTGATTGCCGAGTAATACTCCATTGTATATATATATACCACATCTTCTCTATCCATTCATCTGTGGATGGACATTTGGGCTCTTTCCATACCTTGGCTATTATCGATAGCGCTGCTATAAACATTGGGGTGTATGTGCCCTTTCGAATCAGCACTCATGTATCCTTTGGATAAATACCTAGTAGTGCAATTGCTGGGTGGTAGGGTAGTTCTATTTTTAACCTTTTGAGGAAACTCCACACCGTTTCCCAGAGTGGCTGCACCAGTTTGCAACACAAAAAATACTATTTAATCGCGGTGCGTGTGCATTTTAACATATTAATGTATTTGATGGGATGCGGAGTGAGATAACCCTCACCCCCAACAATCAAGAGTCCTGAAATCTAGGAAGGGGGGCGAGGTCAGAGAAGGCGTCTCCTACTGTGCTGCACCTCGCACTTCTGCCCCGCACCCTCAAGGCCCCTCCTTCCTGCCCCTCCCCTGTCCCCTTCCTCTGCCCCAAGCGCCTCTCACCCTTGCGGAGGGGATTCACGCGGTACTCTGTGTAGAGTTTCTGGGTTCTAAGCTCTTTGAGGTACAATTCGCGCAGGATCTGGTTCTGATGGACCTCATCGATGATCAACTCCTTTTGGCGACCGGCCATGACTGTGGCGGGGCTCCGATCAGATCCGTCCAACTACTTCTCAATGCCCTGGATGGCTTGCGGGTGCGGGAAGACTGCCATCTCCTGGAAACGGCGTCCCACGCTGTCTCCAGGCAACGGCGTCGCCTTCCGGCAACGGCGTCGCCTCCCTCGACCCCCTCCCGCCCGCCCATCTCCCTTCCCCCCATCTTATACTTTGCCCCACTTCCTTCCGAAGAACCACTAAGCTCGACTCACCTTCCCCAGCTTCTCAAGACCCTGGGTACTAGGACCGCCCCTGCATACCGTCAGGAAAGGATGCCGTCCAGCGGCAGACCCCGGAGGTAATGGGCTTGATTGATCCTCACCTTGGACAGTCATTTCCTAAAAAAGATTTTGGGAGGAGTCAGAAACCTCTCTCCTTTTAAAGCAGATGCCTAGACTCACAAAACAGATAAAGGTCTATCTCACAAAACAGAGGAAGTTCAAGTCTGACAAGTTATTCTGGCCCTTATCACCCATGTGATACAGACAAGAATTCTTTCCTAATATAAATAATTTGGGGGACTTTATACTTTATTTCGTTTAAAAATTTAATTGTGATAAAATACACATAACATAAAATTTACCACCAGAAGCATTTTCAAGGATATAGTTTAGTGTTAGTTTAGCGGTTCACATTATGTGAAACCAATTTCCAGAATTATTTCACAGCCATTAAGCAACTCCCCATGTCCCCCTCCCCCTAGCCTCTGGCAACTACCATTTTACTTTCTTTTTCTATGAATATGACAACTCTAGATACCTCGTATAATACAGTTTGCCAGCCCATGCACTTTTCAGCTAAGTGCTTCATGCATTGATCTATCCATCCATCCCATCCATCCATCCATCCATCCATCCATCCATTCATTCAGGACACAGTGTGGTCCAGGATGTGTTTAGGTCTGGGACCCAGTGTTGAACACATCAGTTATATGACACACCTGCAGTTTCCTGAGCCCAGCCAGCTACTTAATGGCTCCTTGTTTTAGCTCCTGCTGCTCCTTGCCCTTGTCCTGGAAGGTTCTTTCCCCCTTGTCTGTCTGGAAAACACGTGTTTATAATGAGCTCACATGTAATCTTTCAGAAACCTTTCTGGACTCTATAGCCCCTAGTCCAATTTTTTTCTGTGCCATGTTCTACTCCCAATCTGTAGTTCCTGGAATACTTTACTAAGCTTCTTTGTTTATAGGTAAGTTACTCGAGAATAAGAAATATATCTGGGCCATCTCTGTACTGCCAGTACCTGGCATAGTGTGGACAGATAGGTGTTTGGAAAATGTTTGCTAACTGATTGGATTTCTGATCAGTTAGTACTGTGATCGTCTGCTTACATAATTACATAAACCCTTACATAATAAAGAAACGCAAACACACTTTATCGCACCATGGCTGAGCCAAAGAAGCCTTTGTTACTCATCATCGTGAGCCACACCTGGGTCCCTTTTTCTTTTTCTTTTAATGTTTTACTTATTTTTGAGAGAGAGAGAGAGGGAACCAGTGGGGGAGGGGCAGAGAGAGAGGGAGACACAGAATCCGAAGCAGTCTCCGGGGTCTGAGCTGCTAGCACAGAGCCCAATGGGGGGCTCAAACTCATGAACCATGAGATCATGACCTGAGCTGAAGTTGGACACTTAACCGACTGAGCCACCCAGGTGCCCCTGGATCCCTTTTTCTAGCAAAGGCTCAAACAGCCTTCTAAAGATTTCACTACCAGGGTGCCTGGGTGGCTCAGTTGATTAAGCATCTGGCTTTTGGTTTCGGCTCTGGTCGCGATCTCACAATTTCATGGGTTTGAGCCCCACATTGGGCTCTGTGCTACAGCAGGGAGCCTGCTTGGGGGTCTCCGTCTCCCTCTCTCTCTGCCCCTCCTCCACTCACACTATCTCTGTGTCTCTCAAAATAAACAAATAACTTTTAAAAAAAGTTTTCACTTTTTTTAAGGAGAGAAGAGTGAGTTCTGGCCACACAGGGTAGAGAGTCCTAGTTGAAGGTGTTGGGTAGAGGCCCCCAAAAGTTTACACTTTAGTAATAGGACTAAGCTAGCTTTAGAGAAAACGTTGGTCTAGCCTTTCCCCAACAAAGTTCACAAACAAGCTCTGAAAGTACCAAATGGATCCACAAATGGCCAAGTGGCCTGCCAGAAAGATTTCCAATACCTTTTAAAGAAAACAACAGCGGTGTCTGGGTGGCTCAGTCGGTTAAGCATCTGACTCTTGATTTTGGCTCGGGTCATGATCTCAAGGTTCGGGAGTTCAAGCTCTGCGTGGGGCTCCACACTGATAGCATGGAGCTTGCTTGGGATTCTCTCTCTCCCTCTTTCTTACCCTCCCTTGCTCATGCTCTCTCTCTCTCAAAATAAGTAAATAAAACTTAAAAAAAAAAGACAACAAAATCCAGCACTCAACAATGTTTCATTCCCAGGGGGCAGCACCAATAGAAAAGTATTAGAAAAGCAGACAGTTAAGAAGTAGGAAAATGTGACCCAGAGCCAGGAGAAAAAGCAACAAACAGAAATTTGAAAACTTAGATGAAATGGATAATTTCTGTGAAGGCATAGATTTCTAGAACTGACAAAGATAGAAAAAAAAAGGAAAAGAGAAGAAATGGAAAATCTGCATTGCTTTATATCTATTTTTAAAAATTCAGTTTGTAATTGAAAAATTCCCCACATGGCCCAGATGGCTTCTCTGGTCAGCCTGTCAAACATATGCAGAAAATACCATTCCTACACAAACTCTTTCAGAAAACAGAAGTGGAAGAAGCATTTCCCAACTCATTTTTTTTTATGTGCTATTTTAATTTTTTTAACTGAAAAATGTTAAGTAAGCG